GGGTTTAGGGTTTAGGGTTTAGGGTTTAGGGTTTAGGGTTTAGGGTTTAGGGTTCAGGGTTTAGGGTTTAGGGTTTAGGGTTTAGGGTTTAGGGTTTAGGGTTTAGGGTTTTGGGTTTAGGGTTTAGGGTTTAGGGTCTAGGGTCTAGGGTTTAGGGTTTAGGGTTTCGGGCTAGGGCCAACTTGTTGCTACGCCCCGTCCTCAGGAAAAGTCAGGGAATGCACCATCCTTTGTCGCACCCCAAACCCTAAACCCTAAGCCCTAAACCCTAAACCCCAAACCCGAAACCCTGAACCCCAAACCCCAAACCCGAAACCCTACACCCTAAACCCTAAAACCCAAACCCTAAACCCTACCGCGGCAGCCACAGGGCCTCCAGAAGCAGTAAAGTGATGCCATGGTTGCCCAAAATGGTTCATAGCGAGATGCCTGGCTCTGAAGCTTTCAGGGCTTGGGGTTTAGGGCTTTCGGGGTTTCAGGGTTTCAGGGTTTCAGGGTTTCAGGGTTTCAGGGTTTCAGGGTTTCAGGGTTTCAGGGTTTCAGGGTTTCAGGGTTTCAGGGTTTCAGGGTTTCAGTAGGGTTTAGGGTTTAGGGTTTAGCGTTTAGGGTTTAGGGAGTTTAGGGTTTAGGGTTTGCAGGGTTTGAGGGTTTAGACTTTACGGGGTTGAGGGCTCTTTCAGGCTCTGAACCCCAAGCCTAAGCCCGAAACCCAAAACCCTAAACCCTAAACCGTGGTTTGGGGCTCGGCGACCCTCAGACAAGCCTGAACCCGACGAATTGTTCGATTGCTCAGAGTTTACTTGGAGGTTCATGGTACTTAGTAACTAATCATAACTGTACTTCTAACTGTACTTATAACCCTATTAGGGCACTTAAGGGGCTTATAAGTGTGTTATAAGTACAGTTATAATTAGTTGCTAAGTACCATGAACCTCCAAGTAGGGTTTTGGGCTTATCATGGGACTCTATCTTGGACCCCTGAAGGTTGTACCCTTGGGTTGAGGTGCCCTGTTTTAAGACCCTCTAAGGAAATATGTGGGCCATGTTACGAGCATATAAAGGGAAGCTCCTGGGGGGTACATCCTTGGGGGTACGAGTCTGAATTCCTTGAGTTCTGAACCCTAGACCTTAGGCTTTACAGTTTGTGGGTGTGGGGGATTCATGGGCTAGTGGGTTTATGCTTGTTTCCTACGGTACAGCGGCAGCTACAGCAATAGGCCTTGCAGCTGTTGGCGACTCTTACTATGGCAACATCCCAAGTCCGAAACTGTAAACAACACCCGACACCCCTACGACCCTCAAAGCCCTAAAGCCCCAATCCCCAACACTCTAAAGCCCCAAAACCGCTAACCCCTAAACCCTACACCCTAAAACCCTGCGCACCGAAAAGTATCCGCAATGAAGGGGGCCCCTCATCCAGAGCGCAAGAAATCCCAGTTGGGAAGGTTTTGAATTTTCAGGGTTCCCCTGCTGCCCCCCCTCTATACTACCCCCCAATTATCCCAATTAAGGTTATTTGAGGGGGGAGAGCAGTATCCCTAAACCCTAAACCCTAAACCCTAAACCCTAAACCCTAAACCCTAAACCCTAAACCCTAAACCCAGTAAGCACGGGGGGGGGGGGGGGTAATGACTAGGGAAACCCAACATTATCGTGTTCTTCAGGGAGCGGGGTTCAAGGGGGGTAGGTAACCTAAGGTTCCCTTATTCTCCCCACCGCTCCCGAAGGCTCCCTCTCTTAAGAACCCTACAACCTAAACCCTAACCCTAAACCCTAAACCCTAAACCCCTAAACCCTAAACCCTAAACCCTAACCCTAACCCTAACACACAAGCTGCAGGTCGGGGTAGAGGGCTTCGGAATCAGAGCTGGTGGCCTTGAGGCGGCCCTCAAGTCTGCCAAGCCCTAAACCCTATCAACCCGATGTGAAGATGGTCGCCTCTTTAAAGTACGGTCTAGGGCCCAGGGCCCTGTTATACCTAGGCCCGACTACTATTTGCTTAAGTACCCCACATAAAATTAAAAAAAAAAAAAAACTTCTTCCTTGTAAGGGAAATAAATTACCATTTTCTATTTTTTGGTGGTTCTTGAATTGTGTTTCTTTTTCTTTTTCATTTTTTATATTTCGTCGGTTCACCAATCATCTGTGTCATATGGGGTATGATTAAACTCATACTGGTACCAATATTGCATATTAGTCGTAAAAGTGCATGTTTGGAACATGGATCTATAAAACCACAGCATGCCCCCCCAAACCCTAAACATCTATGTAAACCCTAAGTAAACCCCTAAATGCCTGAAACTTAAACCCTTAACCACAAAATCTCGAAACCCCAAGCCCCTAAAAAGTAAACACCGAAATCCCTAAACCCCAAGCCCTGAACCCTAAACCCTTTACTAAACCCTAAACCCTAAACCCTGAACCCTGAACCCTAAACCCTAAACGCTAAACCCTAAACCCCTGAGTGCGGAGGCCTTCGGCCTCCCTCATCGCACGTCCGGCCGCCGCCCTCTGAATCCGTTTGGGGTTTGGAGGTTTCTTAGGGTTTAGGTTCTAGAGTTTAGGGCTTAGGGCTTAGGGTTTAGGGTTTAGGGTTTAGGGTTTAGGGTTTAGGGTTTAGGGTTTAGGGTTTAGGGTTTAGGGTTTAGGGTTTAGGGTTTAGGGTTTAGGGTTTAGGGTTTAGGGTTTAGGGTTTAGGGTTTAGGGTTTAGGGTTTAGGTTCTAGAGTTTAGGGCTTATAGGGCTTGTAGGGCTTATAGGGCTTATAGGGCTTATAGGGCTTATCGGGCTTATCGGGCTTGTAGGGCTTATAGGGCTTGTAGGGCTTATCGGGCTTATAGGGCTTGTAGGGCTTATAGGGCTTACAGGGCTTATAGGGCTTACAGGGCTTTTTGGCTTATAGGGCTTACAGGGCTTATAGGGCTTGTAGGGCTTATCGGGCTTATAGGGCCTTTTGGGCTTATCGGGCTTGGGTTTAGGGCGCAAAAGCGTCTGGTGCTTTAAGGGTCAGGCTGGTAGGTCCCAGAGCAAACTAGAAGGTCAAGGGTTTAGGGTTTAGGGTTTAGGGTTCAGGGTTCAGGGTTTAGGGCTTAGGGCTTAGCGCTTATAAGGTTTAGGGTTTAGGGTTTAGGGTTCAGGGTTTAGGGTTTAGGGTTTAGGGTTTAGGGTTTAGGGTTTAGGGTTTAGGATTTATATAGCGTTTAGGGTTTTGGGTTTAGGGTTTAGGGTTTAGGGTTTAGGGTTTAGGGTTTAGGGTTTAGGGTTTAGGGTTTAGGGTTACGCCGGAGCGCGTTCATTAGCCTGGGTCCAGGACCTGCGTCACCCCCGAAAACCCTCAACCCGAAACCTCCAGCTTAGTCGCTGAGTTCATGCACACTTCAGGGTTTAGGTTTTCGGGTTTCGGGTTTGGGGTTTGGGGTTTAGGATTTAGGGTTTGGGGTTTGGGGTTCTCGGAAAAACCCTGAACCTTAACCCCCGAGCCAGGGTTCTAAGGAGGGGTTAAAGCTTTAGAAGGCCCTGGTTGACAGGTTTAGGGATGTTCCCTCCTTATAGTCCTTAATAGGGATTCTAATCGGGGGTACTATGATCCCTATAAAGGACTGTTAGTATAAGGGTGAACATCCCAATCTATGGACCCTAAACCCTAACCCTAAACCCTAACCCTAAACCCTAGCCCTAAACCCTAAACCCTAAGCCCTACACCCTGTTAGCATGAGGGGGATGAACCAACAGACACAAAGCGCCTCAGGGAGGTCGGCCAGCAGTTTAGACGCCCTGGCCAGCAAAGATGTTGGAATCTGGAGGAGGGGCCCGTTTCAGGGTTTGGGGTTTAGGGTTTAGGGTTTTGGGTTTTGGGTTTTGGGTTGCGGGTTTTGGGTTTAGGGTTAGATATATATATATATATGTGTTGGAATCTGGGGAGAAGGGGGTCCTCTGTTCAACGATATGACTCAGGATTCAAATAATACAGTGGAATGAGGGTTTCGGGTTTTGGGGGGGTTTAGGTGCAGTATGAAAATTAATTAATTAGTTAATTAATTAATTAATTAATTAATTAATGCATGTGAAATAAACAAACATATATATGTATATAGAAAGGTTACATGCAGCTTCTCTAAGAGCCGAAATAATACAATGCCGTGTGTGTGCGTGTGTGTGCGCAGCCTTTGAATTCTGAAGCGGGATGGCCCCTGTATTACTCCAATTCCAATTAATATGCACCGTATGACTATCACACGACCGGTCTCGTTTGTTTTTTGTTTTTCTGTGTGTGTGGGGGGAGGCCAGCCGGGGGGGGCCGGGAGGGGGGGTGGTTCGGCTGTAGGGTTTAGGGTTTTGGGTTTTAGGGTTTAGGGTTTAGGGTTTAGGGTTTAGGGTTTAGGGTTGAGGGTTTAGGGTTTAGTGCGCTTCGGGCTGGCCACCCTGCAGCAAGTTTCGAGTCCGGCCCCCACGTCTCCCCGAGCTCAAACCAGAAGGGCTCTTTTCAGGTCAGCCCGAACCTGCCTCCTAAACCCTAAACCCTAAACCCTCAACCCAAGCCCTAACCCCTACCCCCTACGTAACCCCTAAACCCTAAAGCCTAAATCCTGATCCTGGACCTAAACCTCAACCCTAGACCCTCAGCCCTCAACCCTAAACCCTGCCTCGCGCTTGTGGCCGCACTTCCGGCAGAACAGCGAGTCGTCCAAGTACACGTTGCCGCAAGCCGGGCAGTTGGGGCTCGGCCCGCCGCCCTTCAAGCAGGAGGGCTTAGGGTGTAGGGTTTAGGGTTTGGGCTTTAGGGTTGAGGGTTGAGGGTTGAGGGTCTAGGGGTTTAGGGCTAGGGTTTAGGGGTAGTAGAAACTCTGCACTCGTGATGAAGCTTGCAGAATGACAGCGGAGATGGGACGTGAGTAAGTCCATGAACCGAGGGTTGCAAGCTTAAGCTCAACAATAGCCAGGGTTGACGGTTTTGGGCTAGGGCCATCGCATTCGCAGCATCACCCAGACCCAAGCGCCGCCTGGCCGAGACCCTGCATCTGCATGAGCTTCGCAAACTCCTCCCGGGAGATCACGCCATCGTTGTTCACGTCGAGGCGGCCGAATTGGTCCTTGGAGGGCAGCGATACATCTCTGCAATGGGTCCAAGTTGTGCCTAGGAGGCGAAATCTGCCAGCACGACTGATGAAGCTCAATGCAAACACACCAAGGACATGCTCGAACAGTCTTGTTCTTCTGAGACGGCGGCCATCATTGTGGGCGCTGCTGCCGGGGCGGCCGAGTATGTGTACTGGGGCTGGTAGCTGGGCATGCCGGTGGGTGCAGCCGACATCTGGCCGGGGTAAGCGTACTGAGGCTGCGCCCCAAAAGCCTGCGCAGGCTGTGCCGCATACGGGTCGTAGGCTGGGATGTAGGACACGGGCTGGGGAGAGTAGACCGGTCCAGCGGTCTGGAACGGTGCCGCCATTGCCGCCGAGGACGACATGGGTTGTCCGCCTTGGGGTGCGCCCTGGGGGGCCAAGGAGTAGGTGGCCGGTGCTGCACTATATTGGGGCATGTCCATGCCGGTGGGGGCATACATGGCCGGCATTTCCATAGGCACGTATGAGCCAGGAGCAGCATACATAGGTGCTTCCATAGGTGCTGGTGCGCCATACGTCGGCATGAGAGATGGGGTCGCAGTCGGACCAGCGTACATCATGGGCTGCTGATCTAAGACAGGAGGCATGAGGGACGGGGTGGGCCCCGCGGCATAGGTCATGGGTGGCTGCTCCGGGGCTGCGTAAACAGCATTAGCAGGAGGCCCGAGAGACGGGGAGGGCCCTGTTGCCGGTGCCTTCTCAGGGGCCGCGTAGATTGCATTTGCAGGCGGCTGAGAGTTGGTCGGCCCTGCTGGGGCGGCGTAAGTCATGGGCTGCTGCTCGGGGGCCGCGTAGACTGCACCCGGAGGTGGGGTCGCCCCTGTCGGCCCTGCCGGGGCCTTCTTCTCCGGGGCTGCATAAACAGCGCCTGGGGGTGGTGTCGATGCGGGCCCTGCAGCTGGGTTTTCCGGGGCTGCGTAGACAGCTGATGGACTGGGAGCAAGCATGGGACCAGGCATGGGAGCAGGCCCAGACATGGGACCAGACATGGGGCCTGGCATAGACACAGGGGGCAGGGAGGAGGGCGTGAAGGAAACTGGTGGGGGCGTGTAGGAGGCTGGCTGCGTCGGGTACTGCATGGCAGGCGCGTAGGAAACTGGCTGTGGCGTGTAGGAAGCTGCCTGTGGCGGGTACATGGCCGGCGTGTAGGAGACTGGCTGCGGCGTATAGGAAACCGGCTGCGGCGCATAGGAAGCTGGCTGCGCCGGATATTGCAGGGGTGGGTACTGCAATGAGGATCCCTGCGCCGGTGCCGTTGCAGCGGGTGCCGCAGGAGATGTGTTCACTGTGTAAGTGGGGGCCGGGTAGTTCACAGAAGACCCCGTTCCTGCGGGTGCGGCATTCAAGGTTGAGGGTGGAAGCGTCGTGATCGGCGCGCCGGTGGGTGCCGGCTGAACCTCAGTCCCGAAGCCCGCTAGGCTCTCCCCGTGCAGAACCTGTAGAGTCCCTAAAGCCTAAGGCCTAAACCCTAAACCCTGCAGCAGCTGTAAGTGTCAACAAAAGGCTACATACTCGTCAAGATCATGTTGTTCATCTGGCTTTTGCAGAATTAGTGCAAGACCTATGTCTGGGAGAGTCATGTCTGGGAGCGGGATCATTCTAAGGGTAGTTGCATGGTCCCTTAGATTGGGCCCTTAAAACGGGTACCCCTTGCATACCCCTAAAGCACCCTATACAAAGTAAGGGCCCATACGTCAGAGCCCTTCAAAGCAGGTTAGAGACCTATATTAAGATCCCATGAAACTACCCTCAGAAATATCACCAAACCGAACCTAAAACCCACCGCGGCCACATGGTTTTGAGAGTTTGAGGAGCTTCTTGTCCCTACGGCAATTTCATGGGCCCTCTCAGCTGCTGCCCCAGGAAAGCTACTTCTAGGGTTTAGGGTGTAGAGCTTGGGGGGGAGGCCCTTGCCACCCCAAGATGGTCCCCCCACCTGACAAAGCAAAACCCAAGACAACTCAGCAGCGATATACTGGGTTGCTGTGGAAAAGCTTGACTTAAGCTTCCACAACAAGGACGTCATATCCGCCGAGGCCCTTGGGCCGTAGTTCTGGTCGCGTCTCTGGTACCACCCACCCTGACCCCTAAACCCCTTTGGGCGCACCTCCTGCGGACCTCCTGCTGTGTGTCCTCCCTAATCCCTAATCCCTAAACCCTAAACCCTAATCCCTAAACCCTAAACCCTAAACCCTACAAACCCTAAACCCTGCAAACCCCAAAAACCCGAAACCTATGGAAGACGTTCTGGGCCCCCGCATCCCTGATGGGCCCCCCACCCCCCACCCCCCCCACCCCACCCTAAACCATAAACCCCATAAACCCTGCAAACCCGACAAACCCGACAAGCCCAAACCCAGAACCCAAAACCCAAAACCCAAAACCCTAAACCCTAAACCCTAAACCCTACACCCTAACCTCACCCCCATATGGAGCTTGTGGGACATGGACCCCCGGATAGACGGAACCTCAGCTCTAGCCTAGTTCCGGACCCCAGAAACCGAAACATGTAGGTATACCTACATGGTTAACGCGCTGTATCTTCCCTGGGTACGGGCTCTTCGCGACACGTCGTTCGTACTGGCAGGTGCGGCACGGAGCAGAAAAGGCGTTCTTAGGGGATTTCAAAAAAATATTCTTTTTGGGACAGCCTGGTTGGGAGTTTTTGGTGAAGCTATTCTTTGAGGACAGCGTGTTTGGGACTTTTTCGTGCCAGTTAAACACTTGTGACAGATTTTCGTGTTCCACATCCTTGTGCAACATGTTGTACGAAGAGGCGAAAACGCTGTAAATGCCAGTGTTTTATATGAATGATGTTCTTATCCCCTCCCCCCCACCAGCAAACCCAAGGAAAGCCCGAAAGAAACGAAGCAAAACGTCTACATAAAAAAACAAGGAAACGACCAGGGAATTCGCAGCGCGTTGGCCACCTATATATATATATATATGTAGATATACATATAAACTCACATACTAATATCTATACATTTACATAAAGAAAGAGAGATGGAGAGAGATGTGTTGCAGGCATGCGCGTGAGGTATGCAGCACTGTGGCACCGGCCAGATGCTACTTCGCACGACGGCTCGACACTGGTCCAGGTCGGCGAGGGTCGCGCAAGCGCCGAAAGGTTTCTTTGCATACCATACGAAGGTGACTTAGTCTAAGTTCTACCCTAAACCCTAAGCGCCACCTGGCCCTGCATCTGCATGAGCTGCGCAAACTCCTCACGGGAGAGCCCGCCATCGTTGTTCACGTCGAGGCGGCCAAATTGGTCCTTGGAGGGCTGGAGCTCTACGACGCAACCTGCGTGACCTACCCGCGCTTGCAACTCTACTCATCCGGGCTCTCAGCAACGACCCTGAACCCTAAACCCTTTTACCCTAAACCCTAAACCCTAAACCACCCCAAACTCTAGACTCTAACCCCTAAAGCCTACGGGGCAGCAGCATGGCTCTGGACCTTTCGTATCACTCATCGACTCAGGCCCGCACAAGGGTGGAGACGGGCGCCTTCAGCTGCTCAACGCTGCTTTGGGCTTAGGGTTCAGGGTTCAGGGTTCAGGGTTCAGGGTTTAGGGTTTAGGGTTTAGGGTTTAGGGTTTAGGGTTTAGGGTGTGTCAGGGGAGGGCGCGCGCTCGGGTGTGAAACACCCCGGGCCGCGCGCTCGCGTTGCCCGTCAACCCACCCCGGCCACCCAAACTATACTCTATTAGGGTTTAGGGTTTATGGAATTTACTTTCTTGTGCTCTGATGCTTGCTTTGATGTTTTTAAAGTTGCGCTGTTAGGGTTTAAGCTGGGGTTGGGGGTAGCCTCGGCCCTTTTCGGGCCTTCGGCGTGTCAGGGCCCGTAGAGGCCCTTATTTATTTGAAGGTCAGGGAAACCCTTTGTGTCTGCTCCTGGATTCCCCTTCTTTAAGGGCTTCAATTAAGCATCGATTTCACTACCAAAAAATCGCATTTTTCATTGCGGGTACGGGCATCCTGGGGTCCCCCTTCTTTTAGGGGGCCTTTTGAAGCCTTTTGAAGCATTTTGGTGGCTCTTGGGGTCTCTCGGGGCCTTGTTCGGACCTTCGGCGTGTCAGGGGCCGTAGAGGCTTCATTCATTTAAAGGTCAGGGAACCTATTAATGAATTTTTCGCCAATGAGTATTTCAATCGCTAGGGTTTAAGCTCGGGTTCGGGGTAGCCTCGGCCCTTTTCGGGCCTTCGGCAAGTTAGGGCCCGTAGAGGCCCTTATTTGCTTGAAGGCCTTCGCAGGCTTTTGCGGTGTTAGGGTTTAGTAGCCTCGGTCCTTCGGCACGTTAGGGCCCGTAGAGGTCCTTGCTGATTTGGGGGGAGCCATCGATTTCAGTACTAAAAAAGAACATTTTTCATTGCGGGCAAGGGTACCTAAAACCATCGTTTTCAATATTCAAAAATAGCATTTTTCATTGTGGGCACGGACAAATCTTGTGGTCCCCTTCTTTTAGTGGGCCTTTTGAAGCTTTTGAAGCCTTTTGGTGGCTCTTGGCGGTTCTTGGGGGCTTCCTGAGATTCCCTGCGAGGGTGTTGGTGTGGGGGGGCCCTTGGCCCGAGGGGCCCTTGGCTAAGCCCTAGTTGGCAGGGCTGTTTGGCAGGGCCTGCGGGCCCTTCGGTTTGGCTTAGCCCGGGAAGGCCTTGCCTGCGACGGAACCCTTTTATTTGGGCCTTGCCCCGCGGGCCCTTGGTCCGGGACGCTTGCTGCCGAAGCCCTTGGCTCGGGGGGTTCTTGGCCCGGGAGGCCCTTCCTTGGCCGGGGGGGGAGGACCCTTGGCCGAGGGGTTGGGGCCTTTGGCCTGGGGCCCGGCCTGGGGGCCCTTGGCCGGGGGGCCCTTGGTGCGGGGGCCCTTCCCCGGGGGGCCCTTGGCCCCGGGGGGCCCTTGGCCCGGGCCCCGGGGGCCCTTGGCCCGGGGGTGGGGGGCCGCCAAAAACCCCCAAAATCACGAAATTGAGCAGTCAGCCTGCCTGGACCCCTCGCCAGCCTCCTGGTCCAGGAATCCAGCTACCAGGGACCAGGGGGCCCCCGGGGGGGGTGCCCGGCAAACCCTGAACCCAAAACCCTGAACCGACCTCCAGAGGCAAAGGGTTACGATTTGGGGTTATACTTTAGCTACGCTAAAGGTGGTCTGGGTGCCGGCCATCCCTTAGCCGAGTACTGACGTTGTCGTAAAAAAGGCCGATGTCCGTTGGCCTGTCCAGGACAGACGGTGAGGCTTAACCCTCACCTTTCCGTTTCTCTTTTCGCTTGGGCGCTCGGGCTGTAAGGCCCTCGGCCGAGCGTTCGGGGTCTGTCGCTCGACGGAAGCGACCCCTCACTTAGTTTAGGGTTTAGGGTTTCGGGTTTAGGGTTTAGGGTTTAGGGTTTAGGGTTTAGGGTTTAGGGTTTAGGGTTTAGAGTTTCAGGGT